TATGACATTTTTTTAAGTGTAGCCCACGCGAGTTTACACAGAGAAAACACCCGAAACTTGGAATCGTGAAATGGTTGTCTTGTGGAATCCGGGCCCTTTCTCGTACACTTGACAAGGAAATTACGTTCGACGTCACCCCTGACCTATGACTATTATCTTGGTTTTTTGGTTATCTTGAAAAAAGAGGGGGAGGGGGGACCAGGGTAGGGGGAGCTTAGTGCCAGATTTAGGTTTCGAAAGGGTGGACTGTTTGGACCGTGACTAAAGGCCCAGATGCTACATCAACCATCAACCTTAGCACTGAAAGGCTTTTATCGAGAATTCCGACTTTGCAGTTCCAGCTAGAAAACCCAGTAAACCACTTTACAAAGTGACTCCTGGAGAACCGGACACCTTTGCGTACAGCTGGGTAACAATTGCTTTATTCTTTCCTCTCAAGAGTTCGAAGCAGATAATGTGGACATATCGCAGAAGTTTTAATTCATACTCGGAAACCAAAAAAAAAAGGGAGAGGGGGAGCAATGACCGAAAAGAAGAAATGAATACAAGTATATAATTGCAACGAAAGTACTATTGTAATTACTTCATAGAAAAGTAATTCAACGAATACTAAATTACTTCAAGAAGTAATCATTTACGAGTAATTATACTTCTCATGATAAGTACCGTACAAGTCTGCTTAAGATGTTCCCGACAAGAGAACGAAACATTAAGCACGCTCTAAAATAAACCGTGTTGAGGGTTGCGACTGCTCCCGTATACTGCACGGTTCTTACAAGTCGTTTGATGCGGCTTGAAAGAACTGTTCGGTTAGCATTTTTTGTTTAAATATATTCAACTCAGAAGGCTAGCCGCATTCTGAGTTGAATATATTTCAACTTTCGGTTGCTTGCAACGGTCGGACGGCTTTCCTCCTCTCTACCCCTTTAAAGATTGTAACGGTTAAAGGAATTTTATCACTTCCAAAGCGAAACAAATTGTTGCTGATTACTACCTAATAAGAGTGACAAAATGATTACGCACCTACTCTAACGATTTATCGAGTACAAGTCGTTTGATTAGTTGTACCGTACAAGTCTACTTGATGTTCAGTGGACGACACTTCTAAGGAAAACCAAAAGACACTGTTCTGTGTTTAAATATAGCACGCGGTTTTAATCTGGCTCTTGATTGCACCTGGTGGACCCTAGCTTCCACGCTAAGTCCATCTTAAAATGAGACGGAGTTTAGAAGAGGAGCAGCGGGAGCGAACAAAGGCTTCTTCTCGTCTGGAACTTAGGTGTGTGACAAATGGTAATTCAAGGAATATTTATTTGTGGATTCTTAGAAAATACGTTAGCATGACCCTTGGGGACCACCACATAGGTTTCCCTTCGGGAGACGCTAACGCTGACCCCTTCACTTTTCTCTTTTGGCTTTCCCTTTTGATTCTATTTTTTGCTCCGCCATTTTGGCTTTGTTACGGGGTCAGTGCTAGTGTTTCCCAAAGGTGGACGTTTGTCACTTTGTCAAGGGTCATGCTAACGCATTCCCTAAGGATCCACCAATGGATCTTCCTTATTTTTTTTTCGGCCAAGCGGTCTCGCCGAGTTCACCTCGTCCCAGCCTTTGTCGCACACAGATCCGCGTCGGCTTGCCCCTTCTTGCTTCGCGTTTCGGCCAGCCGAGCTATAGGCGCTGCTTCCGTCCCTGTCTTGTGCGCCCGCTTTGTATGCTTAGCAGCGGTATCCGCTACCTGATGCTACATTCGCTGTTCAGCGCTTTCTCACGCGCGCATTGGCTTCCACCCCGTGACGTCACCTACCTCTTGCCCTTTGTACTTTCCATTACTCTCCTCTTTCCGACGCCGCGCGCTTCCCTTTCCACTGTTTTGTCTGCCGATGGACGGCGTCAGGTTTTCGCTGTCACGTAGGTAATAATGCTAACAGGGATAAAAATAAAGACGAGAATGTTTTTTTTCAAGGTTGATTATGAACCACGCCTTTGATTGTGTCCGTGGCCTTTGCCTAGTTTTAAAATAATGATCGCTCGTTTTATTAACTCAGGTATCAAAGCATTTTCCGCAACACATATTTGTTGCACATGTGCATGCTGATTATAGTCCTGTTTGAACTTTAATTATGGTACTTCTGGCGATTTAAGCAATCTAGTAATACTCGCTGAGGTGTTTTTAACAACATATAAAATCGTGTAAACAAATCGTGGAATGTTATGCAACAATTCAATATCGTGATTTATAATAAATATTAATGCTTACTAATAAGCGTGTTCTGGGTAAAACAAAATAAAAGGGATTTTTCATTGAAATAAAAAATTTATTTACCTTGTTTGTTTTAACATATACCCGCACATATTTTAAATTTTGCACTCGTAACTAGGAGCCTCCGGTATTTTAGTTGGTTCATTATACATAATTATGGCGCACACAATCGTAGTCTGAGCCAACGCAGCAGCAACAAGATAAGAAAAAAACATTCCTGTAACTTACGTTCGCGTACTTATATATACCAGGTGTTTCATTTTAATTCAAACAGATTTTCTACAGAAATTTGTAAAAGATGCAATAATACAGTTTGTGCAGGTGAGTTATACGGCCAGGGGGATAATATGTGGGTGGCTAATTTTTGCGATAAGTCGAAAAATTAACTAAACTACCTTAATTACATTTTTATATAGTAAAATCATCATATCGTTTGAATTACAAACATGCTCAGCCTATCCGAAGACCACTATATCAGTCAATTTTAGAACGACTTAAGCTCCTGAGAAACTCCGGGACGCTGAACGCGATGACAATCTAATCAACCGCGTGTTGCCACTGCTAGCTTTGCGCCGACTGGGGAGGGGGGGGCACTTTGGTGCTCCCCCCCCCCCCTCAGTTTCCCACGAACTTCAAGTCGTTCTAAAGTTCAGTGGTATAGTGGTTTTCAATTATGCTTAGCATGTTTCTAATTGAAACCGTATAATTAGTTTTGCTAATTAGACAGTTAATTACGGAAGTTTAGTTAATTATACAACATATCGCAAAGATTAGCCACCTATGTAAGGTCACTCTCGCTGTATAACTCACCCGCCCAAAGTTTAGTAATGCATCTTTTACGAATGTTTTGTAATAAATCTGTTTGAATTGAAACACAGGGTGTTTTTTAAGCTTTACATATTAAAAAAAGTGCCTTGAAAGTTATTTTAGTGCGATTTGTGGAGGTGAGTTATTTGGCCAGGGGGACATTATGTCGGTGGCTAATATTTGCAATAAGTAGGATAATTAATTAAACTTGTCAATTAACTTTTTCATAATTGAAAATGAACATACGGTTCCAATTAGAGACTTACTGAGCGTCATCAGAAACCACTAAATGAACTCATTGTAGAACAACTTGAAACTCGTGGAAAATTTGGGGGCGCACCAAATTTACCACTCGTGCAGCAGGCGCAAAGCTAGCAGTGGCAGAACGCGATGATAATCTAATCATCGGCGTTCCGAAACCGCTAGCCTTGTACCTGCTTCACGAGTGGTAACATTAGTGCACTACTACGCTTCTCACGCGCTCAAAGTCTTTCTGAAAATTACTGATTTAGTGGTTTTCGGTGACACTCAGGAAGTTTATAATTGTAACCATATGTCTATTTTCATTCATTCAAAAGTTCATGAACAAATTTTAATTATTTAGCTGACTGATAGTTACGATTAGCCCCTATACTATGTCTCCCTGGCCGTACAACTCACCTGCACATGCCGTATGAGTGCAACTTTCACAGCTTTTTTAAACAAGCCTGTCAAGCTTAAAAAAAAAAGTGAAAGCCGTTTACAAATCCCTGTAACGCCGAATTGGAGCGCAGCTCTTGAGGAGGAGGAGTGAAGGGTACTGAGGGGAGGGTAGACCCCTCCTCCTTCTCCTCCTCCTTCTCCCCTCATTCTTTAATATGCTCTGGGGGGGGTCACGTGACCTCGGGGGGGGGGGGGGGTCACGTGACCTCGGGGAGGCGTGACCTGGGGGTCACGTGACCTTGGGTGTCACGTGGGGGTCACCGCAAGGTCACGTGTCCCCCAAGGTGACCCCCACGTGACCTCAGGGGGTCACGTGACCTTGGGGGTCACGTGACCCCCTCCAGTCACGTGACCTTGGGGGTCACGTGACCTGGAGGGGTCACGTGACCTTGGGGAGGAGACCACGTGACCTCGGGGGTCACGTGACCTTCAGGGGGTCACGTGTGGGTCACCTTGGGGTCACGTGACCTTGAGATGACCTTGGGAGGGGTCACGTGACCTTGGGGAGGAGATCACGTGACCTCGGGGGTCACGTGACCTCAGATGGGTCACGTGACCTTCAGGGGGTCACGTGGGGTCATCTTGGGGTCATGTGACCTTGAAATGACCTTGGGAGGGGTCACGTGACCTTGGGGGTCGCGTGACCTTGGGATGACCTTGGTTACGCCGACGCCGACGGCGACGCCAACGGCGACGCCGACGGCGACGCCAACGGCGACGCCAACGGCGACGCCGACGCCGCTCAAGCCGGGAACGGGCCCCTAAGAGCTGCGCTCTAAAAAAACAAAAGACACTCTATATATGTATATGTATATGTATATATGTGTGTGTGAGTGTGTGTGTACTCAAGAGCTGGTAACGCATAAACATCTGATGATATGGGAATAACGTTACCGCTTAGCGGAATTTGTTATCGTTACTCTACTTTATATCCAAGAACACAAGCGTTCTCTTCCAGAGTTTCCTTTCTCTAGAAAGTTATAGAATTACACGTTCAGTGCAACCCGTTGGGCAACAATACTTTTTATTTCATTTCTATTTGTACCATGTGTGCATCGTCGACTGACTGCGCACATACGCTGCCCGAGGCTGATGGACAGTTTTCCTTTTTAGAAAAATGTATGTGTTTGTTTTGAGAGCGGCTTCGTAGTATTGGTGCGAAGCGCAGGCAGGAAGCTACATAGCATAAACCGGTGGTACTCAGTTTTAAAATAATATTATTTATTACTGGATGGTTCGCAATAACATCGTGAGAGGAAGTAACAACGTAGGATCTTTGGTGAGCGCCACTTTATTACGAATGCTGCCACCAAATTTCCGCATTGGCTTATACGTTTTTGCGTGTATCTTGAGGCCCGTTCACATACCTGAAACCGCGTAGGACCGACTGAGACAAGACCGGTTTTGCCTCAGTCGCTACTACTCGGTTGGAAATGTGTAAACGAGACTTAAAGGGGTGCTACAACGAAATTTCGGCGCTTTTTTTACGGTTTATATGTGTCCAAAGGAGCAGTATCACCTCGGACACACCAATATCTTGTTAAAAAAATACACGAAAAGGAATATTAAAACGAATTAAACGATTAGAAAGAGCACCTGGTAGTTGTCGTTAACGCCTCGCTTGTAATGCCCGTCTAGGAATCTTGGCAGATAGTGACGACGTTTGTCTCGGCTCCAGCCACGACGAGAACAGAGGGGAAAGAGGAACTCCCCTCTTCCATAGAATTACTTTTGTGCGTCCCAGACGTCGCTATTGTCCCTCTACAAGATTATAGAAGATTAACCCGTCCCTCGAAATTCTTACAAAAGCAGCCGTTTTGGTGGCTGGAACGACTAGGCCATCCTCTCGACGTCAGCCTCGCAATAGCTTCGCTCGTCCCGAGACGACCTACGTCACGATTGCGTCGGATGTCACGTGCTTTAAGCTGGGCCTTCTCCGAGCGCTTGCCAGAATGGGCCATTTATAACAAATTATAGAGCCACAAGGCTCAAGATACAAACGTGGGATTGTCATTTACGAATATTGTGGATCAATTCAACCCATTTCTGAACACGATGGATATGTTTCAAATTTCGTTGAAGTATCCCGTTAAGATACATGCAAAAACGACTTCGCGACCCTCAAAATACTCTTTCTGTTATAAAAAAAAAGAAAAAAAAAGGATGGCACGAATATAATATGGGTCTGGCGGAGCGTTGCCAGTCGTATCAGAAGACACCGTTGGCAGAATTCGCTAATCCGCCGCAACTCGCCAATTAAGATATCGTTCCGATATTGGTGTTATTAAAAGCGTATTATGGTAAAGCTTTGTTTCAGCACTCTTCAAACTATTCAAGATGAAATCATCTATTATGAAAAGCTTATACTTGTTACGTTTTGCAGCTTAATCCCATCCGCAGAAAATTTCTAAAGGATGATTATCCTCCGGTCTATCCCAATGGATGGTTTCCTATTCTGGAGTCTGAAGATCTCCACGTTGAAGAGGTCAAGCGGGTGGACGTACTGGGTGAGCTCAATACTTTTGAACCGATGAAACACAATTATCTTAATAAAACATTTGTACTGAAAGCTTAATATTGCGATATGTTATGAGCAAGCCAGGGTCATACCTAAAATGGAAATTTTCAGTGTGGCGAGTCATCAATTATAGCGTCATATGCTAGAGTTACGGCTTCTGTCGTAGGCCCAGTTAAGTATATCATTCCTAGTAGCCCCTACAGGAGCATCTTTGAAAACTTTCCTTCTAGCGTACGATATATAACCAAGCAACCCCGACATTCTGGGTCATTCGTCCCTTGCACCCCTTCTCGGTGGTTCTAAGCAAAACGTTGTAAAATATTTACTTAGCAATTAGCACTGCAGGCATTTTGAATGAACGGAGGTAGTACAATAATATTGAATACTATTTAGAATTTAATGAACCTATACGTTTTATTTTCGAGTCAAAAGCTTTATTGTTTGCATCGGGTTCTATGCAGTTTTGAGTATTTAGCGGCTTTTCCGCAGTTTTCTAATTTGTCTAGCGGTGGAAATTGCCGTTTCACTGTTGGCAGGATTTAACGCGGCTCCTAAGTTATATTACCGTTTTTTTTTTTCTGGCGGTTTATTATATTCATTAGTTTACATTGGTTAATTGTAAAGAGCTTAATTTTTATGGTGTTCGAGTCAAGTGGTCGTTATTTTTGCTTCTTGTGACGCCATTGAGATATTACCGTGGCGAACATTGAATTATATTTTGAACTGATTTTTGGCGTCCATGTGTGAACTTTCTTTCCAAGTCTGTCAGTCGACCCGGGCGAAGTCAACTATGGGATAAACTTTAGAAAAAATGAGTGCTAAAGGGTTTTAAACTTCGAGGCTGTTTACTGAAAGTTCCAGACAACGCCAGATGAGTCAGATACTTCTACTAAAGAATAGAGTCTTCTGACAGGCATGTGATTTTGGTTTCTGATGTTTTGAATTGCCATCAGATATTTCTCAAAAGATCGGTACCACATTTTATTATACAGGGTTTGCCCACTGCAGAAAAAGCCTGTGGTAATCGCAAGCCACGTGATCGAAGGACTTGTGTGGATAAAAGTACATTGTAGAACTAAACTCATAATATATTATTTACACAATCTAAATTATAGTCACACTTAAACAATTTAAAGACAGCGAAAGTTGCTCAAATAGTTATTACAACTCGTAAAAGCGGCCGCTCATTACGGATGGGGTAACTAACCACCTTTTGTGGTTGCTTTTTATTGTTTTGTTTTTCAAAATGGCGGCCCCCATGCCATTTTGTTTACTGGCTTCTCGCGCCCGCTTGCGTTGCGCCTTCGCTTTATTGTGACGTGCGCACCACTGGAGGACAACCATAGGTAATTTATTCACACGAGTTATTTCAAGCAGGCAGCCGTTTATTTTAGCTCTACATAGTACAATTGATACGAAAACGTTACAAACAGCACATGCAATGATGCGGGTGTTGACGGGTGTTAGCGAACAGACACGGCAGTATGAACAGTTTGTATATTAGCTTCAAGCTATGTGCATAAAAAATTATAAACCGGAGATATAATAAACATAGTCTAAACAGGTCGAGGCAAAGTCGCGGTAAAGTCATTTCAAAACAAATATTCAGGAAACCATCAAAAAAAAGAAAACATTGCGCAGACGCTGCATTGCTTCACATAACGAGGGTGATTACAAACCGGTAGATTTCACAGTAACCACAGGCTAATGTGGTTAAGAATAAAGCTGTATTTGGAGGAGATTTAGACCTGCCCGTCCTTTTCCCCCCGAGATAAACGTTCGACATACCTGGTCAGTTTTCTAGGAGGTATGTTAGATCTAGCCAGTCAATTTCTTCAGGACAATGTCTAGAGCTTAGGTTAGATGACGGCGGGCCATTAGAACTCTCCGCCTTCTGATCTGCCTAACGGGGTTACTGGCCCTTCGATAGAAATATCACCTATCATCAACAAACCGTAAGCACATGGAATGCCACTTTCTGACTGCAGCACCACCATCAAACATTGCCGTCCATGAAAGCGACCTTCTGATTGAGCATTCTTCACTCGTCACCCTCGCCATAAGCCTCACCTAATCCTGCTGTTGCTGATCACTGGTGATGTACCTTCAAACTGTACGCAATGTCTCCGCTCTCCAATGCGACGTTTGTGATTTGGGGCTCCACCGGAAATCCGATGATGTATCTCTCGCTTTGTATAGACGCCTCTTCTGGCTATCAACTGAGTGGCTTTGTGCGCCATATTAGCTCCCACCCCAGGCCGATAACCTCTTCCCATCCCCCAAGCAGCACGGAGCCCCTGCAGACCCCACCATCATCACCAGCTCTAGCAAGCAGCTCTCCGACCCGCCTCCGGCGATTGACATCGGCAGCGTTCACCGTTCGCACGACAACTCCGCGTTCGGCGTAGTTGTCGTGCGAGAAATGCGTGATTGGAGTTTGCAGACTCCAATCACGTTTGGTTTTTCAATGCTTCCTTCCTAAAGAACAAGCTACCTGACATTAAAGCACTGAAGTAATCTTTTCTGAATACAATATTCGCTGTGCACGAGACATGGCTGGACGCTTCAGTCTTTGGTGGGTAATTAATGGGCAATTAATAGATCTCACAAAATTCTCTTTATTCCAGCAAGACCGCCCCTCAACTGGGGGCGGCGGGGTCCTTGCCGTGTTAAAACACCTGTCATGCCAACGTCGCAACCACCTCACCCCTCCGGGTCTAGAAGCCATCTTCGTCGAGGTCTTTTGCGAACATGGAAAGCTTCTTCTGGGGTCTACCTATTGCCCACCCTACCTCCGTGAACAATCGTGCGGCCTCCTCGAAGAGAGCCTAAAGCGCATCGACCCCAGCAGGTTTTTTGCACTCTTCGTCTGTCCCACTTCATGACATGCTGTTAGACGTACTGGAAACTGCTGGCCTCGCCGAGCTTCGTCACGCGCCATCCTACATATGTCGAAACGGCACCACTACATTCCTCGACCTCGCCGTCATTAATAATCCAACCTTATCCCACCGCTGCACAGTCAAATCTTGCCTACCACTCAGTGATCACAGCGCTCTCCTCACCAATATCCATTGCTCAGCCCTTAAGCGAGGTCGTCAAGCCAAAGCGTTCCAGCAGTTATAAAAAACCGGTTTCCCCTCATCTCAATCAGCTCACCCACCTCGCTGCCTGGTCCATGGTGTTTGATCACCCATCGGCAGACGAGGCCTACGACCTCTCGCTCGACATATCAGCTATTCAGCACAATTGTGTCCACCTGAAGGATCAACAAGAGGCGCGGCAGCCTTCCATGGATGACAAAGGAGACTGCACCCTTAATCCGGCGGAAACACTGGCTATTCAAGAAAGCGCGAAAAACTCTAAATTCTACTCATCTTAACCAAGCCCACCAAGCACGTACCGAAGTCAAGCATCTCATCCATTTCTCCCATAACGATTACCTACACAAAGTAGAAGCAAAAGCAACCTGTCCGCCCCAACTCTTGGGCTTGTTTTCACTATCAACAAAAAATATTCAACGTGCGCCGGTCTTCACACATCCACTGCAGGCCCTATTCCAATCTTGACGACATAGCAGAGCTCTTATTTTACCACTTTTTTCTGGCCGCAGCGTTAGTCGACCCTACAACACCTAACCTTTGTCCTACCCAACCCACAACCCTGTCAGTCCATTCTTCAAAGTGAAACCAACGAAGCCCTTGCCGGTGTTAACTCCTCTCAACGCCCTGCACCAGACGGCACCCTCCCCCCCCCCCCCCCCCCCCGCATTGCTTAAATTCTGTGCTGGCCGTATCTCCCCCGTCCTCACTCGCCTCTTCAACAATTCTTTTCTCCCACAGCTCTGTTCCTAAAGCCTGAAAATTTGCGTCAGTAACGCCCCTCAAAAAGGGACACGGTTTTCCCTCAAGTCTGACAATCATTCATACCGACCAATCTCCATAACCTTCATCGTTTGCCGAACGAAGGAGAGTCATTAAAAAGCGACTCTTAGCCCACCTTGAGCTATCGAACTTCCTTGGCCCCCACCAATGCGGTTTCCGCCCCGGCAGGAGCTGGGAATCGGCCCTTGCAGCTGTCACCCATGCACTCAGCACCAGCCGCGACAACCAAACTCCGTGCAATATAGTCCAGTTAAACTTCAGAAAGGCTTTTCACAGCACAGACCACAGCTTGCTTCTATCCAAACTCCTACAGAGGGAATCTCCGGTATGAGGAATTAAAAAAACTAATTTTTCACATGACTACCTCATTTTGCAAGGGCTCTTTTCGTGATTTAGCACAAACTGGGAACACTACTAACAGGTAGGGTGTTCACTGGGCTAGGTTATGTGAGCCATTACGTGTCAAAGGTGTTTTGAGAAAACGAATTAAAGAACACTTTGTCCAAGCTCAAGAGAGACATAGTCTTGCTCTTGACCACTGGCTAATAGCGAGTTCGTTTGATGGCACTCGGACCCACGCGTGCCCACTCACAGCATAAAGCGGGTTTGTTTCTGCTGGCAGTCCACGAGTGCGTGCACTCTCCGAGCTCGTTTCAGCGCCGACAACCCATGCGTGCACGCACTCGCTGCACCTAGAAAATCGAGCGTGCGCCTCGGTCCGGCGAGGATCGGGAGCAGACGACGAGGGTTCGTGCGCTACGGCGTGTCATTTGTACAGCGGAACTGAAAGGAAAAAAATTAGATTTTCTGGTAAAACTCGCGTTCCGGGGGCAACGGAAACAAACGCGACCTTGAATTGTGAGCGTCTGGAATTTTATGAAAGAAGCAGTTGACAACCCGTGCTTTATTTACAAGTTTTTAATCGCTCTGTTGTCGCACGGACGCTAAAATATACGAGTGTGTAAAGAAATGCTCAGAAGAAACGCATCAGCGGTTCCTGAGATTTTTGTCACCATTGTCATGTCACCACCGGGAGAAACTTTTAACATTTGTCAAAAAATCTCCCTCAGCAGAAACCTGACCGCCCAATAAGCACCTGAGAAAGCTAAACATTGCAACTTTACCCGAGGCTTGGAAGTTTAACATATACCGACGTCAGCTATCTTGCCACGTCGTATTTTGTTTGAGAAAGCTCTCGTTCTCGACGCCCTCACCAAGGCTAAATTCTGATTCCCCTGTAACCATGATCGAAATTGAAAGTCCCACGAAACGTTTTGCTGGATATTCCAACAGACTAGTTTTAAGTCATACCCTTTCAGTGGTTCACGCATAATATCCTGCTCAAACGGATCAAGCTTCTGCGCGGACAACATCATCAGTTTTTCCAGTGTAAGCGATTATACGAATTGAAAGATCGTAACCAGCTGCTTTGTAGTCAGCTGGTTGCGGAACTTTACGCCGTTTGTAAATATATCTACGACAACCCAGTTGCCTGAAGCCATCGCCAATAAGAACTACAGGTTGCAGCGACCAACGTTTATAGGTAGCGACTGCACTCTCGCATTCCCACCCATCACGTCGAAGAGAAAGGCGCTAGTTTCGGTTTGAGGTCGGTACTCTTTCTACAACATAGATGGCGACAACATCAGTCTGGACTCGGTGCATTTGGCAAGTTTATTTGAGGCCAGTTCTCCGTGCGACACTCCGCGAGTGCGATGCATTTGGGAGAGAACTGGAACGGTGCCAGTGCGAATGAAATGAACTCGCCATGGCACAACATGATGGAAGCAACTGGTTATTGTTATCTTCCGGTGACTACAGAACGAGGCATACGACAACCAGCCGTGGTTGTCGTGCTGATGGCAACAATAGCAATATTCAGGAGCCTGAAGTTCCAATCGCCATAACTGCTCCACACTTTGCATGCCAAATGCTGAGAGACCCCTCGTAAAAAGCAGGACTTGATTTAAGTCGTTCTCACAGTCTGCAACCTGGTTCGCTGGTTGCAACTGCATAATGTTTTCCTTCTCTAGTGTCTCATAGATGCCGTAAATTACTGTGTGTCAGTGGTATACCAGAAACTCTCTTTCTGGCTAATGACTTGAAAGGGGTTTTCAAGACAGCCCTGACTGAGACAGATGGTAATGAAGAAGAAAGTCCTCCCAGCCACTGTTTTTTCCCAGATATGCAGAACTGCCGCTACTGCACTTACCCAATTATTTACGCAGTTTGTCATATGACGAGCTGTAGATTATTGTCAAGTGATCACTTGTGGCTGCGACATTCCTAATTGCATAAGATATCATAGGATAGACGCTAGAACCCTCATGAGCATTGTTATGCTGCACTGTCAATTTCAGTGGCCACACTACAGCCACAGTGTTTCAGCCTCATTTTACAACTAAAAACTGCTGCCGCCCTTTCGAGCTATTCAGAGCAACGAAGCAAGGTGTGTGAGAGCTCTACGCAGTGGAGTATACTCCCACAATATGTTGTCACGTCCCTCAGTCAAATGTTCCGGTTGGCTCGATGGTGCCGTAGATTTGATAACGCCTTGCAAGCTGCGGGAGGATGAGTCGAACTAGTTCCAGTAACAGTTCAGCTCATGTACGAATATGACCAGAAAATGCTCATGCCACTTAAGGACGGAGGTCCACAATTTTCCCAGCATAGGGTCTATGATTTTCTTCTTGCGGCCCAGATGATGAGCTGCCTTATGTAGTTTTCTCACCTTATCCCCCTGGTTACTGACGGTCTTTGTCTCGGGTGCCCGGCCCTTACAGCTTGCCTCCACATGTCTGTCGCCCTCGCGGTATTCTCTTTAATTCTCTGAGGAACCGTCGTACCGGAACAAGAAAGTAACAGCTTACTGTGAATCGACGAAGTGAGGCACACCTTATACTTTTAAATTAGAGAAGTACTGTGGGTCTTACCGTATGACGTGCCGAGCGGAGATAAAGTATGTCTGGAGCTTGACGGGAGGCTCTACGCATGTTGAACGACAGGTGCCGGATGCTGTCGTACCCACAAGGTATCCCGAGGAGAGAGAGAAGACAGGTTTGAGAACAAAAAACTGCATGTTCGAGCAATCCATTTTTTAGAGGTACATATCGTTAATTCCCTTCGAGGTACGTCCATCTGACTAGTCAATTCAAAATTATGTTCAATGTACCCAGTCAACTTGCTTAGGCTGTTTCGCCAATATATAATGACTGGCAAATTAACTTTTTAAAGTGTTACGTTTTTTATATATGTTTATATTTTGATGCCAACTTCTTTTTTATGCAGATCAGCAAACTCCAGGTTTGCTCCTGATTAGCGTCTTTGCCACGATATGAAGTGGTGTGAAACCATCGATGCTTGGAGGTTGCGAAATCATTAAGCGTGAACAAGCAATTCATTACGTTCGATCGTTTTACAAGTCACGTCCGACGTGCACACGCCTGAGAAATTAACCGGCTCAAATACGCTGCGTTGAACAGAAGACGATCGTGCCATGCCTGACGCACAGAGAGCACGAACACTTTAAGAAATGTTTGCCTCTTGCCTGAGGAGGTCCATTTAGAACACATTCATAGCGTGATCCCGTAACTGACGTGACATTAAAACACCAAGCGAGGATCAAACCGAAAGGGAAATATACAGTACTTGAAAAGATACATTCGCAGAACAGCAACACCGACAACGCCGACAATGCGACGGGCGACGTTTAAAAACATGGCTTCGGTTAGGGCAATTAACTTCTAAAGCTAACGGTCACTGCTAAACTTTTCATTTCCATATCGGTTTATTATTATAGCCTAGATTATTATATTTTCGAAAAATATGAGCATTAACGCACTCAAATAATTTTATTAAGATTCTTTTTAGCCTTTTTATTTTTCACACCTTCAGTTGTCGCCATCCGGCTTGAGGGGCGCTGGGTATGCGCGATTACCGGAAGTGGCCTTGAGTGGGACCGCTGGTTATGAATCACTGGAATCTGGACTACGTATGAACATCTGCTTCGGCACGTAGGGCTAGACAACACAACCAGTAAGAGTAAAACTATGCAGTGGACTGTGCATGGAAGCACTCTGGAGTGCTTCCATTTAAGTCTACTGCATGAACCTGAAAGGAGTTTTTGTGTTGTTTTAGACTAATTACAGCAGTAAATAGTGTCTAAATATCCTTCTCGGCCTGTGTCTTAAAGTTAACGGTTGTCTAGCGGTTTCAGGAACTTTTTAAGTGTTCTTTTAGTGTTGAACACGAGTTTTTTTTTTAACATGTGTAATTCCTGCTCAGCCAAATGACGAACGGTACTGTTCACGGTAATATTGATAGCCCCAAGTTCACAGCAGTTGTAGGAATTATAATTTAACTGATTTCATGAAAGTGTTGCATTCCTCGCAATAAAACGGAATGCACCGCAATGCTGCCCGTAAATGAAACCGACTCCTCACGTAGCATCTACAGAATATCTTTGAGTATACTTTTAAAAGGTACATCGCATTATATCGCATCGCAACACCACTTGCGCCATGGAAAAACAGATAACAATACTTTCAATATTCTATGAGAATTAGGGTGCCTTAATCTATGCGTCTCAGCAAATACCAACTAGCCCACCTATTCATTTTACTGCAAACAACTAAGCTACACTACAATAAACCAGCAGACTGATGCGCTTAAAGTAATAGCTCAAAAGGATATTCTTACCCACTCAGCAGCAACACTTTCAACATTTCGGAATGTGCCATGTGTGATCCTCCTTAACGTCGATCGCTCATTATATCAATCAGGTTCGTGCAGCATTTGTCATTGAGTCGTAACGAGCTTCCGACATGTTGCAACTATGCTAAATATCAGCGATAGTTGCTCTGAGACTCGAAGCTAAGAAATCCTGCCTGGAACAAGGAAACGTGCTTTACGGTTTCACAGGATTGGAGCTTGTGGCCTTTCGCACCAAGGATGGAACCGCCCATGTTATGGATGCATACTGTCCCCACCTGGGAGCCCATCTTGGAGTCATGGGCCGCATTGTGGACGGCTGTATCGAGTGCCCCTTCCATGGCTGGAGGTTCGACAGCTCAAATGGGGTCTGCAAGCACGTACCGTACGCTGCTAAAAGTGAGCTGTTCTGTTGGTTTTGGCAATGCCAAATGTGTTGGGAAATAATTTGAATTGTAGCCCCATAACTGAACTAGGCCTTCATTACCACAACGTGGACATGGTGTTGGGAGCTCGCCTTGCTTCATGCTTAACCCAGAAAACAATACAAAGTCTTTCCGGAGACGACTTGCCGTCGAGTACCGTACACCATAACGTAGTCGACCAATAAAGACATGGACAACAATACTTTAGAGTTAATATTTGAAGAATTGGCAGTTAGGTTTAAGATTAATGCAATCGGCGGGCTATAAAATGTATAGTACATTGTCTTTTGTGCCACGTAACTCAGCTGAAGAGCCACTGTGATGTACGAGACGTGGCAGTATATTCCACTGCGACGTAATCATTTAGCTTTATTAAATTTTCATTTTTGTCCTCTCTTCGCTTCTTATGATAGCTATGGTTTCGCATTTGTTTCTAAACACCCGTTTATTTTCATATATAATATGAATTTCGTCTGTAGTTTTAAGTTTTAGAAACAACCTACTTCTCAACAAGGAATTTGTATCAGAAGTTGGAAGCCATACGATGACTGTCTGTTTGCGTTACTTTTAAAATTGGCGAAGACTAGACATTTATTCGCAGTCAAGACGCGCTACCAGCAATATAATATAAACATAAGTTACTTTGACAAAGGAATCATAGATGAAAAAAAAAAAAAACGGTTAGTGCCAGGTTGGTTTTTAAAAATTGTTGTTCCAGGGCAAGTTTCTGATCGTAAGCCCTTTGCTGGCGAGTGGAGAATTTTGTGCTTAAATTTTATTTTGTAAAAGCACAAGACGCTTTTCACCCAGGTTGTGGTCATAAAAACCACTACTGAGAATATTCTACAGCTCACTTAAAACTGAAAACATGTGAAGAACGTCAGAGGGTACCAAAAATCTCGCTAGGTTTCAGTTTCTTGGTATCGAAGGTGCCTTTCACACCTTCATTCGTAGGTCTTACGTGACTTTAAAGTGTGTCGTGTTATTTAAGTGACACACACACGAACACACACACTAACACACATACGCATTATATTTTTGACAGCTTTTTTACATATTTACATTACGCCTTTAGATGAACACGCAGCTCCGCTGAAGCCAAATTTATGCTATTCCAAAAATTCTGCTTATACAGGGATCCGATGTCACGACGTAGATTGTGTGCTTCTTAACACCCAAATGTAGCGTTGGTTTCCGCTGGGTTTATTAACGGCAATGACTGCTTCTTCTTGAAATAAAGCACACATAGTTTATAGTTCCTCTCTCGTCAATTCCAGTTCCCGAGTTTGTGACGCTAAAGAAGTGGCAGACCGAAGAGCTCCTGGGACACGTATTCCTATGGTTCCACGCCGACGGAGAAGAACCGTCGTGGAAGCTGGAAGACGTGCCGCAGATCACCAACGGGGAATGGAAAATGTTTCGACGCTACGAAGAGAAACTCACCTGCCACATCCGAGACCTCGCTGAGAACGAATCGGACCTGACGCACTTCCGCTACTTTCACGGTCCAAACCTGTTCGTCTCGAAGGAGGAGTTCTCGAAGAACGCCGGCGACACCAAATGGGGACGATTCCTGACCCATATCTGGACGCCCAAATGGTACACCGAGGACCACAAGTGTAACGTGGACATCGACGCGGACATTTTGGTGCTGGGCAGGTGTCCGGCCTTCCTGAGGAATCGCACCTACCTCAGGCTGCATGGGCCAGGGTTGCTGATGGTTCGCCTCGAGTGTAAATTTGGTGTGCAGGTGACTGTTGTATCGGTGACTCCGGAAGGGCCTTTTCAAGTTCGGGTTGTGCACAGGATTCACTTTGAGCCGAACACGACTTGGCTCTTCCGTTCCATTTCAACTAAAGGTTATGTTAACTCGGTAAGTGTCAATAGCAACATCAACTCTTTAAATCCCACAATTTAATTTGCGGGTAAAGTAGAATATTATGACTTCTTCACCCCCTACAATGTAAGCGCCGCATCACAAAGGATAGACCAGGGTGTAAGATAGACAGGTGGGGAAACAAGAGCCAAATGAGCGACCCGATTGTAAACCCCTCGGTTTTCTATTTTTTGTGGCGCAATCTATGTGGAGCACCGCGAACTCTCACTCCGGGTGGGCGACCGGTGTCGACCGGCTAAACTGACTGAGATGGTTTCTCGTGGATTTTCAATGGTGGACTGTCATGCTTTTGGTTTATTTAGCGCACTCTCTCATAAAGTTCCATGCAAATCCGATTCCAATTTTTTTCCTCTCGTCGCAGCGCCATCTGTCGCAAATCTGGGGTACCCGCAAGCAGACGAGTACACAATCCGGTCACGGCGCTGCGGTAGGCTTCTATGGGCCGTTTCTCCACCTGTATATCTTACACCCTGGAATAGACATACTTTTACAATGCGAACTTAGGCAATCGTAGTTGCAGTCCCCCCCTTTCCACAAACACACACACACTATTGCTTGGTTGAAATACAGAATCACTGAATACAAACAGAAAAGTCCGGATTGACGTTTGTTATCTATATATTATACTCCGTTCGCCCTTAAGCTGGGACTGCGGTGGGAACTACGTGGCCGCCGGAACAATCAACCGCCTCACTCCTATCACTGGACTCGGGTCTCGGCACGTGGGTATGGCTGGGATAGTGATTACGGGTCGAGAGAGAGAGGCGTATGACTGGCCCAACGAGGGCGTATTATACGTTACTGAACTTTCAACGCACGCACTGGCATACGACATTTAGCAGAAGAGTTCTATTCCTTCTGCTTAAACTGATACTCATATCTCAATAGACAGAGGTGACAACGAAAAGGTGATTGTTGGAATAGTGTATAGAGAAATTATATTTAAGAGAAAATATGACTTCCTTATCCAACATTTCAAACTGGGATGATTGTAGGCACACATGGACACCATCCTAAGCTAGACCTTGAGAGAAGGTAAAAGGAAATAACGGACAACATTTCAAAACATAAAATCACCAAAAATGAGAGTCAAAATCTCAATGTGAGAGTTCTACTGTCGTGTTGTGTTGTCCTTTATTTTTTTCTTTTATGCCTCATGCCTCAGTTTCTAGTACTTTCTAACCAACTCGTCTGCATAGGCTTTAAATGGCCAAATACAATACCATGAATCTGGAAGACTGCGAGAGGTTTTTTCGCGTTTCTTTCAGGAGTTATTTCTTTTGGTTGTGTACACGATTCTTATATCATGTATTATAGCTACTAATTCGAGTGTTTCTTCAAGTTATTATCGACACGTTATCCCCTATATTTATATGCAATCTTTTAACGTGTATATGTGAAACTACTAAGTGGAACTATTTAGAGCAACTTTAGTTTAGCAGAAAAAGCTAAAACTCCTTTCGTACTATTTATTCGATATTTTATTCAATGTGCAGCGTGAAAAAAAATAATGCGGTTAATTTTCTTTTCAGTTCGAAAGAGACATGCTGTTTTGGAACCACAAGGCGATGCAGACTAAACCACCGTGGCAGAAGGACGATCGGACAGTGATCGAGTTCCGGAAGTGGTACTCTCAATTCTTTAGTGCGAGCAGCCCCACATGGAGAGACATGCGGGATCGTACTTACGAGTGGTGACCAAATTATTTCTAATGAAAAAATAATGGATTTTCAATTATTAGATTGTCCAGTATATCATCCCTTCTTCGCCCTACAAGTTTGCAAAGTGGCTCTATCTTATCTCCGATAAGGTAACGGATTGAGCTCTCAGAAGACATCGTAAAATTTCAATTTAGCCAACTATCGAATAACTTCCCACTGAGAGGAGATAGTGTAACACATTATGCTAATCATACGCGAGGTGACAGCTATCTGCATATATTTTGCTTCGCCAAGTTCTCCATTCGGGAAATACTTAAAGCCACGAGCTCGCAGCTGCGCCTAAACAATGCTACAAGCATTACCTAAAATTAACAAAAGCAGTTTACCAAAAGAGGCTCCATCTTAGACTAAATTAGGATAGGATAGAATCAGGTTTTGACACTGATCAATATCCGTATCCTATCGATGCGTGCCAGTAGGTTCTTCGACCGTAAGCCGCATTGAGTGACAACCCGCGTAGCCTGTAAACACGTGCACTCTCACCTATTGTCTTCTTGTAGATGCGTATCATTTTCCAAGCCAGTCGTCTGTTTTAACAATCTGTTCAATAATAAAAAGGAATAAGAGAGTAAAAAGAAGAACAAGGGTAAGACAGAACTCTTCGTTACCTCACCCGCCGCATCTGAATGTCTTCTCAAGTGCATGATGATGCTCGTCAGTGATACTTTTGGCTATGGGGATCGTAGTGTGAAATAATGCAAAATAAAAGGACATATATACTCACTACCTCAAATGAATAGAAACTGTAATATTAAGGGGCAGAGTCACTATAGCTCCTTTCACTTTACGACGGGCCGCGGAGGACGCTACGAGTCGTCGAAACCAGTCCGGGGCCGTGTGAAAGTCTCGTGACCTTCGAGAGGGGTGCTCGGCGCCCGGTGCCCATTGGCACGAGATACGTTCACGTCGCTGGATCGGCTGGGATATCCGCTACGGTTTATCTTAAGGTAAAACGAAGAATATCGGCGAACGTGCCTTACTGGGATTCTGATCAGCGGCACCGCAGTCTGGCGTCCCGCAGTGAGCAAGTTACACTGACCTTCTATTGATCGGTGCGGTACTGTTGCGTTTCCTCAAGCTGACTCCAGGTAAGGGTGAGAAAGTGTCCAAAAGTCGGGCAAAACGGCTTTAATTTAAAGGCAGACTCGTTTGTCAGAAAAAAAAAAAAAAAGACCTGGTGGTGCTGAACTCCATATAGGCTGAACTCCATGTAGCGAACGTTCACGGCGGAATACACGATTCAAATATGTACAGTCACGCGCCGCCGCGTATTTGTTCACCGATGAACACCATGAGACGAACAAGCGGCGAATGCCTCCGACGCGTACGGAGCGACTGTCACTGTTGCCAAGGGGTAAAAAAAATATTCACTGAATCCACCCATAAAGCTTTGTTTAAACACGACATATTCGTAAAAAGCGCGAAACAAGTTTGACGAAACGATCACGTAGTGGATAATAATGTACTTTTCAGCCTAATAGGCCTTCAAGTGTCTCTGGCGAAACACATTGTCCAGATGCGGCGTGGAGAATGCTTGGTCTGTAACACTTTGCATCGGAGCCGGGCGGACGCCAAACCGCGTAGTGCGTCCTGATTGGCGAGTGTCCTTCGCCGAGCGTAACCCGCTTCTGGTTGCGCAGTTCGCCGAGCTAACAATGGAGTGTTTTAGTAAGTCGTTCAGTCACTCTTGGTACGCTATCCGCAGTCCGCTATGTCCTTCGATACATGTAGCGTAGCAGAACATCCATTTCAAGTTTGAGTAGAACATTCACAAACCGCTACACGTTACAGCATTATGAGAGCTAACGCAACGCCACTAGCGGTTCTTTCAGACACCAAGGCTTGCGTAAAACAAAAGTGTGTGAAGCACAACGAGGTAGAGGGGCTTAGAGTGATAAACCGGAAGTTCGGAAGTGGCACCCCCCCGGTTGCCGCCATATTTTACGCAAATGTGACCACTCGTCACGTGACCTCCCAAGAGCCGTGACGTCACAGGTAAGATGGCAGCGCCCAGAGCTGGCGGATGCGAGTTTGTTCGGTGCGCGGTAGCCGTGATGTGCAGCTGCTTTCCGACGACTTCGGGCTTCTTCGTGCTCGCTGACGCAGGTATAATGTGAAAATATGAAGGAATGAGACTTTATACCGTTTTTGCGCAAGATCGTTCTGGATCATCTGGATATTAACGCTTGTGAGACAGCATCGCCGTACCGGTGCTCGGATTCCGGGATGTGTCCGAGGACCGATAGAACTTTGAGTGCTTTTAACATGAAATTTTCGCATTCTCTTAGCTTTGTTTGAACGTTGAAATATCTGAGAATCTACGCGAAATGTATACGTCGCGTTAGGGCCTAAGGGAAGTTGGTTCAGCCCTCCGTCACCGAACAACCATAGCAACTTTTAGCGAGGAAGCTCCTGCGATTCTTTTGTGCTAATCCACGATTCTACATTCGATCGCTTTTCTTCCTCTTTTTTTGTGTGTGTGTGAGTGCGAAGTGCACCCTTATTTTCAGCTACGAGGATGGCGTTTTACTGAGTATGGGGAAGAATAAATCGTTGCAGGCACCTGCTTCAAAGCTATTCGACTTGCTATAAGAACAACTGTTTTGGTGCATGCATAGATTAACTGCGCATTTTTTCTGTTTTGTAGGATTTATTGCAGCTATACTCTTTTCCATCAAGAGTGCATTGTATTAGTCGGTCAATTATTTAATTGTTCTAATTACCTGGGTAAGATGATTCATATTTGTGTTCATCCCTTGCCTGGAGAGCAGTCTTGTTGAAAAATGTTGACTACCATTCCTTTCGGTCTCTTCAATAGACTCTTTTTAAAAGTGTGGGCTGTCTATACTTCGCATCACCGTTACTTGGAAAAGGCCAACCGCCACAGCCCCCTCGAGCCAATCAGAGAGACGGAGCGAAGGTGTGTGACAAATCTGTGCAGACAAGCACTCTGGTGATATGCTGTCATGGGCCTCTCTCCAATGTGTGTATTGACTCACCGAGACGGTAGCCTTTGCCGTCTGCCAAATTCTGATGAAACAAATTACAGTAGCTACTATTGTAATTACCCCAAGCTTTCACACTTTGGGCATTTGTTCGACAAGAATGTTATGTCCGCCATCCCTGTGAATTCGGCTCAGCACGTATTGGACTCGAATGCTGCATTAGCGTTCGACGTGAACTGGGGCCCATTCGTGTGCTTTACGCCGAAACAAATGGTGACAGTTATGTTGCTTGATAAGGTTCTGCAAAGGGTCTATTGTGTCATACATATAGGAAGTGTCATGCTATATAACAATGCATCAACACATACTATTAAACTATATGCTCAGAGGTGTGTTTGTTTCTCCATTTAACAAGTTACAGCAGTGTGCTTTAATGCTATTATCATGTGTGTAGTTTTAAGTATCTTCTCTGCAATGCCTATGAAGGCCCCTGGAAGGAATAAATTAATAAATAACATTTTCACATCTCTGGAGTTGGTTTTCGGATGCACCACATGTTCAGGAAAGGTTGAACGAGTGCAGCCCCTTGCAAGAAGTCTGCCAGTCTGGTATGACCCCTTAATTAATATTGAAGGGTCAGAGATGCGAGTGTCCTCGTAAGGTCCAGAGCGTGCAGTGGACACAATTCTCGGTGTATAGACTCTCAAGGCATGAAGGCAAGCGGAAATATGTTTATCTGGTTAGTGTATCAAATGTGTTTATTTCCACTTGATTACATAATTATTGATTCTTAGGAAATGGTTCCATAACGAGTTCTTTCTGCGACAGTCTCGTGTCAGGCGTTCAGTCGTAGTACCTGTGGACCTTGTTGTCGGATGACGCTCCTGGCACGTCGGTGTTCAGTTTGGTCGAGTGGCAACTTTGACCGACTGATGCTGTCTTGTAATCATACGTCATGTGCGGCCACCGACGTCTGATGCACTGAAGCTGCAGGGCTGGCTTCTAATCCGAAAATTTTCCTGGTAGTTTTCGGCATCAATGCAGCAAGCTCGGGCATGTATTGCTTACGTGGCTGTGCCTTTTGCTGTACCGTTGACTTGATAGCTGGCAACAATTTTTGTTTGCTATCCAAGTCTGGTGATGCTTGCAGTTCACTTTTGAGAGCAACCAACCATTCTATTCCTTCAAGTCACTCAGGGGCATTCTCCCTCAAAGTTGGAAATTGTGTGCTTCGTGGAGTGGACACAGAAAATTGATGTCAGCAAATTTTTAGGTATTGTCCTTGGACGACAACCAACACCAAATCCACTGTCACTGCATCGCCGCTCACCTGCTTTGTCGTGCTTACCTCTTGTTGAGGTGATGGACATGAGGAGCTTCGGGGTAATCAGGGATTCAGAATCTTCGATTCAGCACCTTCGGCATCAGGGACAAAGGTCGCCGAAGGTAATCCTTAATCTCCCGTGGTCGCTCCTCGAGACGTAATCGAGGGTCGTTTGGCACGAACCATCGCAGACCAATTCATTGGTACGGGCTGCTTTGGTAGACATGGTCGGCTTCATGCAGTGGAAGCAAAGCGGTTTTCGGTCGCACATTCGCATCACCTACGTTTTCCTCGGTGTACTTTGTTGAGCACAAACCTACACACGATGTCGGGAATGCTTCGGCATTAGAGTATCTCATTGAATTGGCATTGAATACTAAGAGGCAGCCGGTGGCGGTCGTCGTGCCATTGTGGCGTAAGTTGCCCTTGGTTTGTCAGATGCCGCTTCGCTCGCAGAAGTCTCGGTTGAAATACCTGTCAAACTTGTTCCGAAACAATCTCGGCAATCAAAATAAAAGCCAGGCAACTGATGGCAGGAAGTAGCTTCCTGATCTCCTCCCAGACAACGTCGTGGATGATGTCGTGGATGCCTGGGAGGCTGGCGTCGAAGTAGTAGCTGGACAACTCGAGTGTCGAGACGCCGGGAAGTTGTTCATAGTGGCAGGCTCGGGCATGCAGTGCACATTCCATGTTGGAAGCCTCGGTGA